GTCAAATTCTTCGATATACTGTAAACGCTTTGCATACGCGTCGTTTGTAATAATTTCGCCAAATAATCGCTAAGTTCTTTACATAAGGTATATTATAAACATGATCAAATTTCGTACAACCTAAATTATTATTATTTTTAATATAATCATCGTTGTTTCGTGTACTAAGTAATTTAATCTGTTTTTTACAAACTTATTGACAATTCCGAAGGAAAAACCATTGATTCATCAATATCGTTTTTACTTTGAGGATGTTCGCTTGATGAAAATATTATTAGATAGCATCACCGCATGATCAACTAAACTGAAAATAGTATTCTTTTTATATTTAACCGGTGATGATGGATAATAATTAATATATCTGCCTGAACTTGTGGGCTTCAAAAACCAATTAGTTAATAAATTGCCATTCTTTCTAATTACTGTAGTGTTTAAGAAATTAATCGTGTTATTATTTTCAATCTCATGCGTGAACTTTAATCTTGGATGATAATTATTAAAAGTTGACAAAATTTCATCAACACACCTCTGAGGGATAATTGTGAAAATGTCATCCACGTATCTAAAAACAGCATAGTTTCGAAACCTCAACATTTCCAGACACTCAGTCTCTAGATCATCCATCACCATATCAGCAAATTGGTGAAAGCGGAGACCCTACAGGACTGCCATAAATTTGTTCATAATATTGACCGTTAAAAACAAAACTAGTCGAATCCATGATAGACTCGATTGAATATAAAATTTGAGAGAGGTTGAAAGTCGTTTAGATCATGATTGTCATTCCATCTCTTTTTACTCTCTTGATTACTAAATCCTTAGGGATATTCGTAAAACAAGGAAGCAACATCTAACGATATCAATAATTCCTCGTTTTTAATTGACATTTTTTAATACTCTTCACAAAGGACCAATAATCCTTAACATACGATCTTGGTTCTTAATAGATTTACTCAGTATATCATGTATGAAGTCGACAAGTTATACTCGTATAATGGACTACATAAAGATGACACTATGATACGCAATGGAAAGTCAACTTTGTGAATTTTCGGTAACCATAACCTGGTAAATTACCGTTAGTTCTGTTTAAAAAATTATAAGTATTTATGTCTATGAGTTTATATCAAGCCATGATTTAATAAGAACATGCATTTTATTAGTTAATTTTTTAACCGGATTTTTGTCTATTTTTCTATAAGTAGATTCATCATTAAGTAAACCTTCCATTTTTCTTATGTAGTCCATTTTTTCAAGAATGACAGTGTTGTCTTTGTCAGCTTTTGTCACATAATGTCATCGTTACACTTTTAAAAAATTTTTTGCTTCCCCGAAACATCTAAGAATATATTTATCTATTGATTAATGTGCTTTTTTGTACTTAAAAAATTGTGGACAGAATTTGCTACCGAGATACGAGTTGTTTCATGTAGATTCGCAGAAATACGATTAATACACACTTCTAGATTTTTTACTATCTCAAGTGCAGTATCAATACGGTCCACCTTGCAGTCTTGTTGTATTGGTAAACCAAAACTATCGCCAAGACTCAATAAGTCGCGTACATTGTCCGGTATTACTTTGTTACTGAGGTTAATGATCTATTTAGAATTATCCATGTTAACAAAAGATTAACAATTACATTATGTTTAGTAACAATCTGTTAAATTTGTTGATTAATTTGTTTTTTGTTATATGTTTAAAAGTCAAAAATCTGTCCCTATTAAGTTCCAAAAAATTCCTACAGCTCATGAGGGTAAATAGTCAAAAAGTGTACGTTCTATGTTTGCTATCATCTTATGTAAGTATTTAAGGTTGACATTAATATATTTTATTTCAAGTCTCAATAATCTAAGTTTGTAATGTTAGTATTACGCTTGAACGTTTCGACGCATATTGACATTGTACCAACTAATTGCGTTTCTCAAATTGTCGATGTGTGATGGTAAAATATCGTAAGTTCTACACCGTAACAAAAATATTAGTTGTTGATTGCAAGTAATGATCCTCTTCTTTGTCTTAATCCAAGATTTCAAGAGAGTCGTGTAATAGTTGCCGAACCTGTGGAATTATACGAAAAAAACTTATGTTTCGGCCATGCTCCATGATTAGGTCCAGGAGTATTAAAATATATATATAAAAATAAATTTGATATAATTTACCTTTGTTTTTTCTCGACCACTGATACCTCAGAGACGCTTAAAGTTTTTCTTAACATAGTTAATTTGTTTCTATGCTTATCAATTAATTTTCCTTTAGCTACTTCTGGTTTATTGTGACGTATTGTTTTTTTCCAATAGGGCTAACATAATATGTTGATCTTTTTTTTCCTTGAAAGATTCAACTATTTTATCAGCTAAAATGCTTATTGTTCCATTATTTAATCTTTTTTTTTTATTTAATAAATGACATATTATAATATCGCACAAATGATTGCGATCTTTATTGTGAATACATTTTGTTTTTTCATTCTTTAATAAAATAACCCTTCCAATAATATTATTATTTAAGAGAGATTTTACATCAAAATTTATAACATCATGTGTTTTTAATATAATATCAGTCATATTACTTTCTTTTGCTTTATTTTCAACTGTATCTAAAGTCTTTTTTCATTACAAGATAGTGTCTGTGATGTAGAAGGTTTTGTTAGAGATACAAGTTTTGGTTTTTTTGCCGGAGGCTCTATTTGTTGCAGTTCAATTATTTCAATATTATCAATATGTTCAATATTTTCCGAAGGTATCTAGAAATACAATTATAAAATAAGTATATTTGGAAACTTATTTTAAAGTATTAAAATGACAGAATTTTTCATTAAATAAAAGATTAAAATATTACAAGTTATTTTACATTTAAAAGCGAAATAGAAAAAAATAATATTAGAATAAAATATATTAAAGTAAAATAAAAATTTAATTTATAATAGAATTATTCTATTATAGTTTCAGCTTTTAAAGTTATTGTAAAAGTTGAAAAGTATAAGAAAATGTTTTATGTAAAAATATTTTTTAAGTTAGATAAATATTTTTTAATAATATACTTAAATTTATAAAAACAATCTGAATTATTTTTTGATTTTAACAATTAAAAAATATTTTTAGCATTAATATAAAATATAAAAAAAATATATACTACTATACTTTGAGACGGCAATATTAAAGGTAAAGTTATACTTTTGGAAAAATGTTTTTGTAAAGCTATCTTGAATTTTTTTCTATCTTCTAAAAAAGGAATTAATTCCTTAAGTTCCTCTTCCGTTATTAATTCTAAAAGAGCTATGTCATCTATTTTTTGTTCTGAAATAAATAAAAATACAAAGAGATATAAAAATCAAAGATGTTTGTTAAATTATGACTAATTCTTAATAATATATTTAATATATATCTAAATATATATTTATTGAGAATATAATTATTTCAGTAACGCCACACAAAAAACCTTATTTATGTAATATAAAAAATAATAATAAAAAAACAACGCAAGCTTTGATTTTAAATAATCAATTCAAATTAAAAGCATCAGTGTTAATCGTAGATCAGTGTTAATAATAATTACAAACAAAACATAAAAAATAAAAACCAAACATTCATAAGAGGCAAATAAGAGTTGATTTAAGACGATCTTTGATAGTTTTAAATATGAATTCAACTGGGAATGAATTATTTAATAAAATTTGTATTGCCAATTCAATATTTTTCCTATGGAACTGTGAATGTGATAGTATGAAGGCTTTATCTAATAAGCCCATCGCTGTTCCTCTCTTTTGACAAAGAGGATGTTGCGATAGGTAATTCAGATATCTGCCTGAAACGTTCACAGTATTATTGTATTATAATGATTGATATACTCATTTATTGCTAGGTTCACATACAATAAAAAATATTTGCGCTCTAATTACCGCGCTGACTTTTATTTGCCTCTTATGAATGTTTGATTTTATAATAAAGAGTCTAATGTTATATATAAAAATATAGTATATATAGTATATATATGATTTTAAGATAACAAAATATTATTATAACAAAATATGAGAAGCAGAGCCAATTACCACTTTATAGATGCGTAAATGGTAATATTGATAATATTACAATATTATAATAAATTTGGTGATCATATTTTTATAACAATATTAACAAAAAATACATACATACATAATTATGAAATATTCTGGGAAAAATAATTACGGTCATAACTCACTTTTGGACCCACGTGCACGATTATTCGTAACCTTAAAAAACTATTTAGAAAACTCGAAATGACTTCTTATAACTAACATTCACATTTGTTTAAGTCAGTCTTTGGGTTGAACAAATGTAAATGTCGATTATAAGAAGTAATTTCGAGTTTTCCAAACAATTTTTTAAGATTACGAATAACGTGAACGTAGGTCCAAAAGTGGATTATAACCGTAATTATTTTTCCTAGAGTACTTACCAGCAAATGTTGAAGATAAATGTGCCAAATCGCAAGCTTCCAGAAATGATGGAACACTCTTAGGACACATCTTTCTCTGCCGAAACACACAGACAAAATAATTGCGGATCGTGGCCGAAACTGTGGCTACGTGCATTGAAACAGTCAAAGTAAAAAACAGTGGAACATCCCGCATCCGCAATGCCTAAAGCAGGCTAGGCTCACGTGCTAAGAAAACGATTTCAAGGCCGGCTCTAGCATTATGTGCCCCCAGTCAAACAAAATTTTGAAAATCTTAACAATATTAATTTTATTCACAAGAAATTAAAATTTATCAAATTATTTTCATCAAATATTTAATAATACATTAAAAATATTTTTTAATTGGTTTTTTAATTATATGAAACGAGCAGTATTTTTATTTAATTTTCACTTATTTTAGTCAACTTGACTGGCAAAAATTATTATTTATTCAAATACTACATTTTTGTTGATATTTATAGATTGCAATACATATATTATTTCTATAATTTCTATTTTTAATTACTTTTCTATATAACGAGAGGACGAACACATTGGTTATGTCAATGGAAGTCCTTAGTTACTTGTAGAAATTAGTTTTAATCACTCCAAATAATAGATTAATTGGACAAATCATTTTCTTATTTAAATCAATGTATATTTAAAATTTATTTCAATTAATAGTTTTAGTAATCAGTTGATAATCTGTTTTGATCAACCCAAATAATGTTATTTGAAACAAACATATTTTATGTTTATTTTAAATAATAATTATTAATCAATTAAATAATCGATTTTGATTACTTCAAATAATAATAAAAATGAAATATCGACGGCAATCGGAGCCTGTGCGGATGTCATGCACAAAATTAATAAATTGAAATGAGATCTCAAATAAAGCTCATTTATTAAATTCTAAACGTTTCGACCCACTTCGGGTCTTCTTCAGTAGCTACAACATACAAAAAATTCCAGCAATCAAAGATAGTCGTTACAATTAAAAAAATATAAACCTCATATACATACAATCCGCAAAACAAATTAAATGTTAATCTCCTCCCTATTCCCACTGTCCGGTCGTCGGAGCGTCTCCCCGACGGTGACCATTGTCAGGAAGGAAGCAGAGCACATAAGTGACTCCCTTACCCACACTAATCAAAGTCACAACTTTTATATAAATTAGATCATGCTTATTTTTGAAATGTAATGTTGAATATTCTATAGTGTTGACATATTTGAAATGAAACAAGATATTATTATACTAATGAAAGTATTAAAGTGGATAAACATATATACATTTTTCTAATTTTTTTAGTTTAAAAAAGCTTATTGTTAGTTTATTTCATTTATAATTCTTTATAAATTATATTATTTATATTATTTTATATTATATTTCTTTATATTATATTATTCTTTATATTATTCTTTATATTATATTATATTATATTATTTTCTTTGATTTTATTAGGATATGGAATTATCAAATTCAAGATCACTCGATGCCCAAAATTTAAATAAAGTTCAAACAAAAAAAAGACAGAATGAAGTTAACACAGATTATCCAACTTCAGTTAAGAAAAAGGAAACTATTAATCTAAACATGCTTGCTGAAACAAGAATCTTCTTGCTCAAAAGGGTTTGGAACCTAAAATTACAGTTCCAACTGGAACAGTTATTCGTACTAATTTAGTTCAAAATATTGATAATTTTATTCAGCTTCTACCCAATAAATTTGTAGATACAATTCATGTGTTAAAATGGGCTAATGTCTCAGGTACTTGTTATAAACTGGAATGGTTTTATTAGCTGGTTTTACTGAAGAGTATCCTATATTTGGACAAATTAAATTTATTTTATTTGAAATCGATTCCAGAACTGTTTCTTTTATTTTGAAAGGTTTTGAAACTTTATCATTTTCTTCTTTGTATCAAGCATATGAAATTGTTTTTTCTGAAGAATGGTTTTTCATACAACAAAAAGCTCTTCAGAGTCATTTACCAACTCATATCCGAACAGGTCCAAACGGACTTTCGTATATAACTTTTCGACATAAATTGTAAACACATAATTTATTATTTAATTTTTAATATAATAATTGTATTAATTATATAATAATTGTACTAATCATATATATATATATATATATATATATATATATATATAATTATTGTGTTAATTATATAATTAATAGTAAATTGCAATTATATAAATTTTATTGTAATTGTATTTTATTAATTGTAATTGTATTTTATTAATTGTAATTGTATTTGTTATTAAATTATTTAATAATATAATTTTATTGAAAATATGAATTATTTAATTATTCTAATCGGTTAAATGTAATAATATATTAGTCTTAATATAAAAAAAAATACCGCATTAGAATAAACCTTAATTTCTTTAAAGTAAATAAATAAAAACTTCATTGAAGAAAAAATTATATTGTTATAAGCATATTTAGCGTTAAACGACCGCAACTTTATCTTTAAACTGAAATAAATTTCAGTTTCAATTAAGAATATTTTGCACTATTGTTTTAAGGATAATTTATCCTTTATGCAAGATGATTTCTTCTTGGTGCTATTTTAAGTATAAAATATACTTGAATCAAGGCATATTTGCATTCTTTTAAAGATACCTTTTTTCTGTGTGCACAATAAAATATACAATGATTAAGATATGAAACAATAAATTACAATGTTGTTAACAAAGAAAATTAAAAATAATATACAATAATGTAATGTACCTATCTAGATGTTAATTCGACAGCAGTAAAATTACTAATGTTAACGGAGACAAGTAAATCAATTTAAGTCAAACGTTTAAAAACACAATAAAAACAAAGTTCGACAATACACGACATAAATAAATAAATAAATAAATAGACAATCATATACTGTGGATCAACTTATCATAAATAGGATTTAGATTTTCTGTGTCTCTTTGTAAATTGATGTTATTCTTATATTTTTTAATAAAAAACATCTCCGCTAATTCTCTCTTCTTTCTGTGTTTCTCGCAATGCAAAATCTTAGGTTTCATCCATTTAAATTCATGGTCATATTTTGTTCGATGTTTGCTAATTACGTTATAATTGCTATGGTGTTGTTTAATATTTTTAAAATGTTCGTTTACGCGTGTAGCTAATTGTCTTTTTGTTTGTCCTGTATATGTTGCGTTGCAATCGTTACATTCTATTAAATACACAACGTCAGTCTTTTTCATATGGTTGATCCGGGTTGAGCCTATCTTTTCCTCTCCTAATTAACCTATTTAATTTTTTCGGGATAGTATAAACAAAATCGATGCCACATTGCAATAGCACCAAAAATTAAAATCGATGAGATATTAACGATTTTTAATAGTTACCACGAACGCCTAATGTTCACGCATGAGGCTGAAGTCAACGGTCCTGTGAATTTTCTGGATGTTACTGACCGAGTTTTCGACAGGGGTCACTGACACGCACTCACGCTACTAGCGATCTGCTCACTCCAGCGTCTCGGAGGCAATTGCCGCTGAACGGTCGGTGAGCTGACACCCCCAACTACTTTACCCTGTCGGTGGAACCGGTCTGCGCGCCTTCCCTTACTCAGGAAAAAATCAGTCTTGAAACTTTGTGAACGCACCATGTATTTATTTCCACAGAGACGTTCCTTTTCGTCTTGAGAGTTTTTGGGGATTAAAAGATAAAATTCGAAATATATAGGGTGGTAGAAGAGAATTAATTGAGACCTGAACTAACAAAATATTTATTTTGGGGACAATAATACAAAATAGGAATTTTATTCGCGAAGGAGACGAGAGCTGGTTTTATTTACTTAATTCGTGAAAAGGTAAAAAGCAAAGGAAAAGGAAATCGCGGTCGTAAAAAGGTAGGATTTAGGCAATGGGAGATAGTCCTCTACGAAAAATCTTGTGCATATGTGACTTAAAGCCATTGTCTGATTTTACGCGAGTTAGGAGGTCTCGACATTTGGAATACGACGAGACCTCGATGTCACTTGACTCTTTTTATCTTTTTATCTCTCTCGAACCTTACGTCGCGCATATGTACATGAGTAGGTATACTAGGGGGGTTCTAGACCAGGTCCTCTGAGGGGGGTGCGGGGCGGGGGTATGACGTCACGCGGGCGGGGGGTCTTATCAGCAGATAAGCTTATCTATGTTTATAAACAAAAGATAAACAATATCTATTACAAAAGGGCTGCCGACAATCGGGGGGGGGGGGGGTTGCGTTTCTTCTCCTCATACGTTTATGTTTATAAACAAAAGATAAACAATATCTATTACAAAGGGCTGCCGACAATCAGGGGGGGGGAGTTGCGTTTCTTCTCCTCATACGTTTATGTTTATAAACAAAAGATAAACAATATCTATTACAAAAGGGCTGCCGACAATCAGGGGAAGGGGGGGGTTGCGTTTCTTCTCTTTATACGTTATCTGTATATTTCTAAGAAATATAATCAAATTCTAAGAAGGGCCGCTTGGATCCGAGCGCCGACAATCAGTTCTCTGAAAATCTAAGATAATCAAATTTTAAGAAGGGTCACCGCTTGGCATACGCCGACAATCAAAGGGGTTGATACATGATCTATACATATATTTCTAAGAAATATCAGCGGGTAAAGTTTCAGGGCGAACGTGTCATCGCTTGCGGCCTGCGACATGTTTTTGCATGGGATTGTATATCACCCTCGCGGTACCTCCCCAATAAGCGGCGGTTCTTTATTGTTTATCTTAGGAAGAAATACCAGCGCCGATAACCAGCGGCTGCAGGAATTTATAAACAAAACAAGCGCCGAAAATTTACGTCATCTAAATTTTTCTCGTTCATACGTTGACGAACAAAGGGTTGATCGGGGATATATAATGAGGACCGATGCCGCTGCCGGGCCATAGTACCACTGGCGAGCGCATGCTTTCCTCAAGGAAAAATAGCTGTGAGAAAAAAGTTTAGTGTGCAATTGAAGTAGTTATTTCTGTGCAGTACAAGTAAATTTTTTACAAAAATGGAGAACGCAGAACATATTGAGCGCGACCTGTTGGAGCGTTCCCACCAAGTCGGCACCTTGAGCGAATATTTCGGATGGCTGCAAGAGTGCGAACGGTTTATCGAAGAGCTGGAAGAACGCAGCCGTGCCAAGCGTCCGCGTCTCTCGATTGGACATAGGCAATCTCTCGTGGCG